CCCCCCAATCCTAGTGTGATACATTGGGTCTGGGATCCCAGAAACTATCCTCAGGTCTGCTTTTCCAGGAGGGACTGTCCGGACTCAGCATGTAGCTGTAGGGTTATGATTTATCACAGGGAACAGACACAGTAGAATCAACCACGGGGAAAGGTGCCTGGGCGGCTATCCAGGAGAAGCCAGGCATAAGCTTTCCTTTCCCAGTGTATGGAGTATGACAGCACAGGACATGCCGCGAACCCGGCGTGCTCAGCAGAGACTCGGCCCCTCGGGTTTTTATTGAGACCTGATAAAGTCTATACTCTCAGAAGAGAAAGCAGGAATGTAGCATAAATGATTTGACAAAAGGTTTAGCTCGGGCAGCCATTCTTGCTAGTTCTGGGAATGGTGAGAATCTTCGTAAAGTCCTAGTCTCCAGCCAAGAGCCCACCTTGTAAGCAGGCCTTCAGGGGAAAGACTCCAGGTCTGCTCGGTTAACAGCTTTCTGTTTGGTCATCTTCCATTAGTTCACTTTGAGGCTGAGAATTGGGATTTTTATCAATCATTGTATTTTTATCTTTTATATTCCCTGACTATAAAAACATCCTTTAAAAAATGTCTATCTCTGCTGTTCTCTAAAGGGCCTGGGATCCTCCTCATTCACATTTGTGCTCTGGGGTCAGAGTTTTGTCCTGAGTTAGTCACTGGGCCCCATGCATAAGCTCTGTCCTGAAGTTGAGAACGTGTTGATGTTGCAAGCATCCCCTACAGAAGACCATTGCTCAGAAACATGGCAATGCAAATCAGGCCAGCACAGATCCATCTGAGTGTGGAAGTGTTTGCAGGAGGTGAGCGGGAGGGCAGGGACCTGAGCGCTTGTGCTGAAGAGAGACATAGCTCTTGGCTGTGGAGGGCAGTCAGTCTTGGAGCTGGTCCCCTTCCTCTGATGATTTCTTACATCTTCTCAGGACGACTCTGTGAAGGGAAAATTAGGCCAATGAGAAAAGCTTTTCACCCTGCCCTGCGGAAGAGCTTCTTTGCCACCTTCCATCACTGTGCACAGCTCGGCTGGGCAGTGAATGGGCCATTTTTATGGACCAAAGGCAGCCGACTGATAGGGTGGGTGAGCTCCCGCAGCAGGCATCAGATAGAGCAGAATGGGGGGTTTATGACATTTCTGTCTGTAACACAAATGAACATTTTGTAATACAGCGGCCCTTTGTCCACTCAATAAGCATTTGTGAATTCTTTCTTACTGTCTCTTCTAGTTTAGGGCAAGAGACCAGGCTTGGTCCTTGAGTATAAATTTAGCAGTCAGTGGACTCCGATCTTGGCCTTGAGATAAAGTGAAACACAGGGTGCAGCGATGTAAGATTTATGAAGGAGGTTGTCAGTGAAGTGCCGTGGTAGTTCAGGGAAACAGGGGGATGGTTCCCTGAGCAGGTGGGACAATCGAGTCCATGCCCCTTGCATTCACTCGCGCTTGCATTCAGCATATAGCGTATGTTTATCTACTGCAGATGACCTCCTGCAGGAGGGACGCGACGCAGTGAGCTAAAAAGTGAAGAGCCAGACAGCAAAGCAGAGATGCAGCCAGTGCTATGAAGAATACCAGCTGCAATGGTGGATCAGAGTGTTTGTGGTGCTAAAATATTTTTGCTCGATGTTCAGATGGTTCTTTCCATCTATCCAGTAC